CAAGGCTGGCTGGGGAATCCTGGGAATTGGAGTCCACACATCTTAATGTTGCCAAGGTTGAGAAACACTGTCTTAGAGTGTTTTTTCTTTTCCCAAGAAGAAGCAAATGTTCTTGCCTCAAGAAACAAACATGTCTGGTTAACATAATCTGCTCCCAGAACAAAACTTTCTGGGTCATTACAGTTACAGATTTCTGCCCGTGCTCCCAATGAAATTCATATCCGTAGTTCGGAAGAATCAGTGAGAAGGCGGGAGAGGCACAGGTCTGGCATTCCATTTTAGTGAGTACCTTCCGGGTGTACGAAAGTACTTCTTTGAGTGTAGGGATGTGCGACCCACTCAGCACCACTGTTATCCCGAGCGGTCTAGCGGGAGGGGTTGCGGGGAATGCCTGCGGGCCAGCTCTGCAGCTGGTCCGGCTACAAATATTTCAAGAGCATCCCGCTCAGATGTAGTTTTTATGAATGCCACTGCTGAGCCCTCTTTCCTTTTTCCCTTTCGGAAGGTCTCCGTTGCCTCTCTTGTTACTGAAATTAAATAGAGGGGACTCAGGGCCCTGCGGCATCTAAATAGCATCTAATTACACACACACACACACACACACACACAGGTTTCTCCTCTTCCATCTTCTCCATCATGGGCACAAATCTTGTTTCCTATTTGCGCATATGGATCTGGCCTCGTTACATAATGCTCTCAGTTGGGAACTGGCCTTTCGCCAGCAGCCTCCAGTCCCTCTTGTCGACATCTCCTGCTCCCGGCAAAAGCAAACACGGTCCTTTCTGCATCTTAATTTCAGCTCCCCAATTACGCGGCTGCAGCTGCACTGCTAATAACTCAAATTTACGAGTCACATACCTGCCGGTGCTTGTGAATGCCGGGGGCGGGGGGGCTGTGGGCCATGCTTGCTGAGCTGGCTGCCAAAGCCGAGGAGGACAGCCAGGCCGTATTCCAAGGAAACGGAAAACATACAGGGGGACAGCCTTCCTTGGTGCTCGGAGTCAGCGATGCCGATCAGCGAGAATTCGGGTTTACATACTTGCTCCTTTTGTTCCCCCACTTTCACATCTCAGTCAGGATCCATTTTAGATGCAAAGTTTTGTGAATCCTCTGGGAAGATTTGCCTAAAGAACAGGAGGTATGCACGATCTGCACCCACACCTTGTACGTTGCGTTTTCTTCCCCTCCGGCTGACATGGAGGGGAGAGGGAAGCAACATGAAAAGCACCACTTGGGCAAGATCTTTATTAAACTCAAGACCCCCCCGCCAATGTATCCAGAAAGTCCTTAAGCTTTTGAATGGAAAGGTAGCAGCGTTGAGACCTGTCTCCACTTGAACTCTTTGTGGTAGCTGATAGACTGGGCACCAGCGAGGATCCCTGGGGATAGATTGTGGCGATGGGGCAGCCCCATTCCGCTTTGAGTTCCCTTTGACCGAATTGTTCGGCATTCCCTTTGGGCCTGCGTCTGTTCTGCACCCTGCTTGCAGGCCTTGGTCTTCTCTTGACGTGGGTCATTCAGGGGTGTCTGCCAGGTCTGGCCAAACGAGTTGAGTTGTCCACAAAACCCAAGTGGAGTTGCACCATGGCAGCCATTGTCTTGAGTTTTTTGACCCTACCCTGCAGACCCCCCTGTGTCATTGCTAGACTGTGACCTGGATTTGGGGGCTCAAGGGATCTGCTCTGGTCCCCTTGGGCTGCTAGTTGTGGCCATTCTGCTTGGATTCTCGCCCCAAGGCCAAGCTGCGGAGCAGCCTCTGGGGAGCCAGGAAAATCACTCTTGTGTTTGCCATTCTTTCTTAGTGTATCCCAATCTCCTTTTTACATCCACCACTTTTCTTATTAAAAATGGAAACAAAAGAAGCAAATGAGCCCGCCGGCTTAGACCAGACATGGGGCCCACTTGTGAATCCCACTCTTTCTCCACCCCCATTGAAAATTAAGGCTTTCATTGTTCTGGACCACAACTCCCAGCACCCTCAATCTACTCCCACAATATTTGACACTCCTTGAACCCCTCTGCTTTCATTGGATCTCTTTGGAGAAGGAGGTCCCAGGGAAGGGCCACGGAATGGAAAGGCCCATTCTTTAATAAGGAAGGGAAGCATAGGGCAAGGGGTGGGGGGAGATTCTAGCAAGATGGAAGGAATTGACTTTTGCAAAAGAATCCAGCTGACTTTTTGAGAAGCAAAGAAGTTGCTGCATCTTCCTCGCCAAGCCATTCGGGTGTCACAGCGAAAAGGAACTTGAAAGCTTTGTCTTTGGAAGAAGCAGAGAGT